TGCCAATAAAAGGAATCCTAGTCATTCATATATGTGCTTTCCATTTCTATTTTTAAAAGTATTGTTTTTTAATAACAGATGTGTTACATCTGCATTAGAGGAAAATCTGGAAAATACTGAAAAATATACAGAAGAAAAATAACATAAATCATCCATAGTCTCATCATTCAGAAAAGCTCTGTTAATACTACAATGCACTTTGTTCTACTCTTTCAAGTTATCTGAATTTAAAAATAGAACAATTGTTCAATGTTACAAAATTGAGATCATATACATAATATTTTATATTCCTTTTTTCACTTTATATTATACCATATTTTCTCATCTCATTAAGGTACATAATAAAGACATTTTAATGACTGTAAAAAATTCCTTAAATTGTTTTTGCCATACTTTGTGCAACCATCATTCTCCTATCACTGGACATTTAGGTTATAAGCAATTATGCATATAAATATTTGTATTTCTAGTTATTTTCTTAGAAGAAAAATCTAGACATGAGATTACTGGGTCAAAGAGTATGTATATTTTGATGGCTTTTTATACAGATCCAGAATGATGTACTCTCCCAAACTGGCCACTTGCCAAAAAACAAAACCGAACACAGTGATGTACTAATTTATATTTTCACATGTGGGACACTGCATAATGTCTGATTCATGTATCCCTCACCAACAATGAATGTTGGTCTTGTGATTTTTGCTGAAACAGGCAAAACAGTTCTTTAAATTTGCATCTTTTCATTAGTATTACTGAACATCTTCCACATATCCATTATCATTTGTATTTCCTCTTTTATGAATAATGTATTTACTTTGTTTGACCAATTTTTAAAAATGTTTTACTGAAGTACAATATACATGCAGAAAAGTATACATATCTTAAATGCAAAGCTCAATGATTTTTTCATAAACAGAATATACCCAGGTACCAGCAACCAGATCAAAAGACTGAATATTATCAGCACCCCAGAAAATCCTCTTATGTTTCCTTACAAGTACTAATTCCCCTAAGAGTAATTACTATTCTGACTTGTAATACCATAAATTAATTTTGCTTGTTTTTGTACTTTTGCCCATTTTTATACTAATAATTTTATTGTCTTAAAAAGTTAATTAGTATTTAATAAAACATTTAAAGATTACAGAAAAGTACAAAAAAGAAATCAACAAGTCATCCAAAAATCATACCACCTAAAATAACTATTAGCCATGGTAAATATGACAGTTCTGTAAGCATGGATGAACACACATATACAGAGAAACAAATTATCCTTTAGAATGGGATTATAATCTTATTTTAATTAAATAAAAAGACACTAAAATAAAACTTCACACACACACACACACACACACACCCTCCACAACTTCAGATAAATGTTCTTTGATTATATACAAATCATTAAGAGGTCTGAGTCTCATTTAAAACAAAACAAAAACAAAAGCTCTGTTTCAATTCTGCATTATTACTGATTGATTTTCTACTATGAAAAAATGAAATGATTAACATCTTTTCCTCTCCTCACCTTCTAGTTTTGATTTCTTTTGTTGTTTTCATTTTATCATTTATACTCAATTCTGTGGCCATAATTTCCATAGCTACTGATTCTATTATTTTGAATTGCCCCTTGATTGGTTCCAACAATGAGTAGTGTCCCCATCCCCCTTTTTTCCGTAAAGTAGGACTCAGCTCTTTTCATGTTTGAGCATATCTATGTGCTGCCTTAATAAGAGAAAGATAACACAATTTTCTTGGGTCATACTTTATTTCCTTTATAAAGTTGTAATAATAATGTAATAAACAAAAAAAAACCAGAAAATACTTAGTGCTTAATATGTATCAGGTACTGTCAAACATTTCACATCTTAACTCATTTAATACTAACAACAACCCTACAAGTTAGGTGGTAGTATTATCTTTACAGATGAAAAACCTGAGGCACTGGGAGGTATCCAGACTTACACGAAGTCACTTATTCTGAAAAGTGGCAGAGCTCTGATTTGAATGTAGGCAGTCTGGCTCAAGAGCCTGTAATTTTAATTGCTACACTGTTCTGCTTTAATGCCTGCAGTTGGAACATGACTGGTGGGAGGGACGTAAGGACACTGCTAGTAGCTTTAAAGGGTGAAGGCCAGGGATGCCAGATGTTCTGCAAAGAAAACAACCATACAATACAAGGGTACCTGAAATAGTTCATTCTATTTTTTCACAAACTTTTTGAAGTACCTGGTATGTAAAATGTTTGAGGATTAAGTAATTTTAAATAAGTTTTCACCTCATGAATACCCAATAAGACATCTGAATGTTAATAATTTCATTTTTTCTTAGTAGGAATCAATCGATAATAGGCGAAATTATAACAGCTTTTGTGAGGGATATAGTACAATCTGTACAAGCGTACTTCAAAAAGTTCATGGAAAAATAGAATTAAAAGACAATACAAATCTTTCCATGAACTTTCTGAAAACCCCCTCATATAAATACAAAGCACTTTTTTTGCAAAGTTTTAAATATGCTCACTTTTCCAGAATGCAACTACTTATGATCCAGAAAAACTGTTCAATGTTTGAAAAATCATGTCACTAATGGAAACGTCACAACCAATACTATCTAAGTTACCAGTATAACACATCTATATCAGTCTGCATTTATAGCTTCCATACTCATGAGTTCTACATGAGTGCCAGTATCATTTAACCACTTCATTACATCTTCGAATACAATCACAGTTAAGCATTTATAGATCAATGTAAATATTATTTTACTATAAATTAGTTTTATTTCTCCTTTCATTCTAGGGCAACATGTTGACTTGAAAATTATGGATTTACTCTACTATCTATGAATTTCATTTCAGGATCCAAAAAACCTCCTCCTTAACACTACATGGGAGTTGTAATTTTCAAGGGATTTTCTTTGATTCTTTTCCTCTGATGTCTTTAGTCCATTTCTTTTGATTCACGCATATGATGAGAAAGAAGCCATGCCATTCTGTGCCAGAATATTCAGTTCATTTACACTTTGCAAAGGACTACCTCTTTCTTTGTTTAAAGTTCTACTTCTTTCCTTATTTGGTTGTTGCTGGATTACTGCTTGCTAATCTTTTTAGTACTATTTGATCATTTCATTAGCTTTGGGAGGTGAGTGTTGAGGTCCTGCTTCCCTCAGCCACATCACATCTGGCAGCCCTTTTTTGCCCAAGTTTGGATGGAGTGCTTTCCTTTCCCTTGAAGAGATCATCCCAATAAATAGTTTCCTTAGTATAAAAGGGTGGTAAGTCTTTCAATTATTTTGTGATGAATGAAAATTCACTACAAGCTTTTCTAATCTCAACTGCATTCTTCTTATGGTTCTAAAGTATGAGAGTCTACTCAGGGCCCATTATCACATATCATAGCACTCTTAAAAGTATTAGTTAATATTTACTGAGTGATGACAATGTGCCAGTCACTGCTCTAAGAGCTTTACATGTATTATCTCATTAATCTCACAATGATCCTGTGAGGCAGATATTATCCTCATAGGAAACTGAGATGCAGAAATCTTCCTTTACCAATTTGCCCATGGTCGCATAGCTGGTAAGTGGCAAAGCCAGGATTTGCACCCTGGACATCTGACATCAGAGCCCAAGTTATTTATCCACTGCCTTACTGTCTACCAAGTTTTTAGGGGCCTCCTGCTCTACTCAAGGTAATAAGTACTTCACTATAGATTTTTTTTAGGAAATAACTACTTCCCTATAGCCTTTTTGATTACTACTTTCTCTTTAGAACCTACCACAAATGCTGAATAAATATTTATTACTTGAATAAATGAAAGACTTAACTGGTTATTTTCAATGCTTCCTCCCATCTCTTTTAATGTGCTTTATCCTTTTGGAAACAAGAAGGGCAAACTAAAATCCCAAATACCATTCTTACTCATTTCTGAGTTGTTAAGAGAAATATCATTCTATACTTAAAAAGAACATTGTAGCTTAACAGCTTTCAACTGTACTTTCTAAGTCAGCTGACAAAAGTTGAACAGGAATGCAAGTATCTCTTTTTAGTATCTAATTGTGCGGTCTTGACATCATATTTGCTTTGAAGGAGGAATTTTTTGTAACAATACGTAAGAATTAGGTACTCCTCTTTCCCACTTTTGGCAGAAGCAGCTCTATGCTCCTTGGTAGCTGAGATCATCAATTAGGTACCCTGCAGTACCCTGCCAGCCCTAGGAACCTTTTTACACACTGGCTACCTGTGCCCATCAAAGCTTACTATTCCATCTCTTATTGTGTCAGATTTCTGACAACAAATTAACAGGAGGTCAAGTATATCCACAGATTATACAACCTAGGCAGCATGCTTGATTTAGAGTGAAAAGTTAGTGGATATAACATAGAAACACAAAAAAAGTTACTGCAGTTTCAGATACTATGACAGGTTGACGGTTTTGGCATTATTTTGTGATAGGCAGGCCTCTGGTCTCACTTCAAGTCACACCCTATAAATAACATTTAAAAAAATTTTTAAAGACACCAAAGCATGTAAATATACGTATAAAGATAGCACAAAGAGAAATACAATCTTGGACTTTTAAATGAAAAGTCATGAATTTTTAATAGCCTGTGGTGAAAGAACAGTGTGGTAGAAATAGAATGATTATGGGAATGAGAGCCTCTTAACGTAGACAACAATTCTGTACGGCAGAATTCAGGTATATAAACTACCTCAATGTAACAAGGAACCCTGTTACAGATATATAATGGTACCACAAAAAAAAGTACACATGATAATTACATATGGATAATAAACACAAATAAATTGAGAAAATAATGGTTTGGGTAGAGTAAATCTAAAAACTATTTACAAAATTAAAAGGTCATACCTGAATTGCACTTGCTGTTAAAGGAGAAACTGTTCAAGACTAAGAATTCATTTCAATTATTTGCATTTTAATAAAAAAGATGCAATGGCATCATATGAAAACTGAGCTAGTTTATTTTAAAAATAACTTACGCTAATGACTGATGAAGAAGTTGACAAGTTTAAGCCTTCAAGATCAGCTATCAAGCTTGGAGAAAGAGCTGGTGTGGGAAGTGCAACCGGAGTGGATACTGGGTTAACTGTAAGAAAAGGCTCAAATTAGAAAACGTGCATGAAAATTTAATTCAAATTATTAAAAGCAACATTTTTATTGTTAGTAAATCTAATTAAATTACTTTGGTTAATAAATGTATGACAATTCTATTTAACATCTTGATTTAGTCAAGTTATGATCAAGTCACAGCAATTATTAGTCTTAGCTTTCAAAAAATAATGGCAAATCCTATAACAAAATAAGCATATAAATATCTTGAGTAATAGTTTTTGAAAATTTTTATCACATAACATTATCACTAACATTTATGACCCAGTAATTTCACTGAAAGAAAAAGGTGGAGAAACATTTTTCCAGACTAATATAAAGAATAGCAAATTGCTTTCAAGAGAGTTCTCCAGTTGAATTAGAAGTCTTAAGATATTTAAATACTTTTCTCTATTTTATTCTACACTGTAACTAATTAGGGGTCCAGGCTACTTAACTTCCTTTTAATTATACTTTGTCAGCAAAAGCTATATACTAGACTGAAATGTTTGACTGATTCTAAACCTGCTATGATATATTTGAGAACAGATCCATGTAGGTTTGAATATCTTTTAAAAATGCAAATCTGATTGTGTTGCTCCCCTGCTTAAGACTCTTCAAAGGATCATAAGCACCTATAAGATAAAAGTCCAGCTCCTTAATTAAATGTACATGGTTCTTTTAGGACTAGCTCAGCCCTGTTCAATAGCATTTTCTATGATAATGGAAATGTTCTATATCAGTTGCTGTCCAATATAGTGGCCACTAGCCACATGTAGCTACTTAAATTTAAACTAATTAAAATTAAAAATGCACTATGTTAGTCATACAAGCCACATCTCAAGAGCACATGAGCCATATGTGGCTAGTGGCCACCATATTGGGCAGCTCAGGTCCAGCTTATCTCCAGTTTCATCAGGCACTCTTATGCTCTAGCTCTCTGGAATAATAGTCCGCAAGATCTTCTTTTATATCTTTGTGCCTTTTCTATTATACTCTGTTTGCCTAGAAGATACTCCTCTACTGTGCTCATCCTGCAACTTGTACCTGTCAAGATACCACTTAGAGGGAAAGCACTCCCTGACTCACCTAAACACGGCATAGATGTGCCTTCCTTGTTTTACACATATGTTTGAACAAACTTCTATAACTGTACTTCTCATGTAACAAAATTTGTATCTTTACATGATACAAATTGTCTATGCAAACAGACTTTAACTTAATTTTTGTGCTTAGTAATTTCTCAACTGTTTGTTGAATGAAATAAATTAAAATGTTTTAGCTCCCAACAAATTCTCACTCTAAAATCACACTGTAAAGGAAGTAACATTTACTAACTTACACTTTCCAAAGCATCTTTTTCTCATTTTAGTCTCACAATATTCTGTAAATTAGGCAGAACAAATACTAATCCATAAAGTTAACAATAAATATTTCTTGAGCAACGCAGCAAAGGAGAGAAAACGTTCAAGATATGGTCCTTGTCTTCAAGTAACTTAAGACCTAATTAAGAAAAATAAGACATACATGCTTGGAGAAAAAAAAAAAAAAAGTAACAGCAGAGTCCATAAATGATATTGCCAGAGAAGAAAACTTTCAAAGGAAATCTTAAGTAAAATCTCAACATATGTAATATGGCCAAAAGACACGAAAAAATTCTCAACATCACTAAGCATCAGAGAAATGCAAATCAAAATGACAATGAGATGTCATCTCACGCCAGTTAGACTGGCTATTATCAAAAAGACAGAGAATAACAAATGCTTGTGAGAATGCTGACAAAGCGGAACCCCATACACCACTGGTGGGACTGTAAATTAGTGCAGCCATTATGGAAAACAGTATGGAGGTTCCTCAAACAACTACAGGTAGAACTACCATATGATCTGGCAATATTACTTCTGGGTATATACCCAAAGGAATGGCAATCATCATGTCTGGATACCCACACTCCCACGTTTATAGCAGCTCTGTTTACAACAGCCAAGAGTTGGAACCAATCTAAATGTTCATCATCAGATAACCGGATAAGGAAAATGTGGTATATATACTCAATGGAATACTACTCTGCCATAAACAAGAATGAAATTCTTCCATTTGCATAAACATGGATGAACTTAGAGAAAATTATGTTAAGTGAAATAAGCCAGGCCCAGAAAGAGAAATATCACATGTCCTCACTCGTAAGTGGGAGCTAAAAAAATAAACAAGTAGAAAAAGAAAGAGACAACTATCACAGAAATTTGTTGAACTTCAGAAGGAGAGAACGAAACTGAGGCCGCCAGAAGTAGTGGGGGGGGGGGGGTTAGTGAGAAACTGGTAAAGGGTCACAAAAAATGATTACATTGTATAATGTTGAATATACTAATCATGCTGATTTGAACACATATTGCAGATTGTGGGGATAGGTACTGATATTCAACTCTGTACCCCACAGATAGGTATAATCAATAAAAAAAAAAAAATCAACATATACAACAGAAAAACCACAGTGGATATTGAGTGGAGGAGGGAATGGAGCTGTTAGCTCCCCACCCCCACCCCCACC